TGTATCAGAAAATAATCATTTTGATGTTTACGTAGCTTTATCTAAATATTACCATGGATTGCATACATGAAATGAAAATGATTTCATGTTTCCGCAACATTTCTCAAAATATAGAATTTTAGCAGACAGAATCAATGGAAAAGTCCTAATTGTCCATTCCACGGTCTAGGGAATTATAGAAATTCTGAATCGAACTTTGATTCAGACATTAATCGTTATGAGGAATCCGCCGATACCTCAAATCTCACCATTGTTCTATGCACCACAGGCTTCATTAATGACGTTGAAGTGGGGATATTACAATTTCAGGGGACCCTATATAAGAAAGTTACCTAATCACTCCGCATCCTCAATAACAGTCTAGACTGATATCTATCATATGGAATAATGATAAAATTTCCAAAAGTTATTTCCATCACAGATGACTTCCCTCCCTATACAGTGTGATATGCTTAAAAAAAAATTGTTATGTTCCATGAAGAGACCTTAGGTTACCTCCTTCGTTACACCGTGTGGTTATTTTGACATTCTTAGATATATTACAAGGAATACACCAATGCCGCCCCCCTGTGAGGAGCCTGCTTATTTTGCTCCTCCATATACTTATGGCTATTCATACTATTCCTACTATCCTCTCCATAAAACTCGGCTTGTTCCATGTTCACTGAAATTTCTGCAAACTTTTACACTCTCTCTTCGTATATACATACTTTCAACCTATTATAATTTAAGAGAACAAAGAAGGACAGGTAAGGGTCAAATACATTTTCTTAATGAATACTTAAGATACATGTATGGCTCAATCAGTCCATTCTCTTAGATACGATTCCTAGACAGCTCATATATTCGCAGGATAATTATGGAGTCGGCTCCCCTTTCATTTATATCTTCTTATGCTACATAATTACTAAATAATGAGAAATTATTATTTCGTCTTATAAATACTGTTCCCCCTTTAGTAACCTTCCTAGGCGATCTATAACTTTTTAGTAATATTTACATGTAAGAGTCATTGCAGAATGGGATTCACTCCATCCTATTTTATCTTACTTCTTTATATTTCCCTCATCTGGAGTCCAACGGAGGCTTAACAGAACCTCTAAAAACGTTTCGTTTTAGTACAATTATGTGAGGATGTTTTTACTTTCCAAATTACACATCTTCCCTCTTGCACTTTTCAAAGGAGAACATGATATTGTAATTCATTCTAATTACAATACATTGAGTGAGTTGTAATCGATTGTATAACTCCATATAATTAAACTAAGTATCTGTCATTATGCCTCCGCAACCATCTCCCTGTATTCTGGACAGAACACCATTATACTATAATTCAGCAGCTCGTATCGCATGTGTCTTTCATTCTGCTTTTTGTGCTTTCTCTGAATTTACATAAGGCAGATTTGAATATACTGTTTATAGAGTCAGATGAAATAGGATACCCAAATCATGTGAAATCCCTTCACATTCCTAGCATATATTTCTTTCAAAAGGGACTTATACAGATTCTTTATGCTTTCATTCTTAGGACATAATTTTTGGATTAACCCTCAAATATATACAAAAAAGATTATTAATGTTTTGTAATGAGTGATACAAAACGAAGAATAGGACTGTATTATAGGTGCAACACCCATGACACTAATGTATACAAAAATTAAGGGGCGTATTCCTAGATATTATACATACGAATTCTGTGAATGCACGTTCAGAACAGTCCTCATTAATAGTTATACAGCACCTTGTCTAAATCAGATGCATACCTATACAATGTCTACGTGAAATATCATCATAGCACATTATGAATAACTTTTTCCAGACATTACAAGTGTTACAATTAAATATATCTTTGAATTGCTATGGGGATTCCACACTTTACTGGATAAAAGTTTTTATGGCACTGTGCTTAATTGGAATATTGTCTGTAACATGGAACTCCCGATAAACTCCGTACTGTATGCATATCAACCCTGCCACTCTTATACTTAGATCAAGATTCTCATAATTCTCTAAAAAACATTTCATAGACAGAATCAGTCTTCTCCTTATGTCTCATAAGATTTGTGTATTACATTGATAACATAGACAGATCTACAGAGATTCACTATAAGAGATGTATCCACGGGTACTCATAACTGGGTTAAGGAGTTGAGATAAAATATGTTCATAGGCGTCTATTAGGTATCCGGTGATGTCATCAACGTTCAGTATAAATTAATGATTTAGTTCCTACTTATCTATACAGAAGCTTTTTTTGTAAATAAGGATTCTAGGGTGTTATAATGGCATAATGAAACAGTATTTATAGGGTTTTACTGAATATTCTCCTTCTCTTTCATTTGTTACCAGTATAGGAGAGTGTGTAATTCAGTGTCAGAAACATATGCCAGAGGATTCTTGTGCCCGTTTGATTCATGGGTATAGTCTTTACTGAATATGCGAAACCATTATTTATTTCCTGACGAAGAATTCTTCATGTTCATAAGTTTCCCTGCCTCTTATCATGGGAATCCCTCCTCGTGTGTGTAGAATTATACATAAAGCAGAAATACGCACAAATGAAAAGCTATGAAATAAATTTAGAATACTCATATCACAGATATCAAAGCAGACTTCTGGAAAAGAATAAAACAAATGTGGACTTGTATCCTTAAAACAATTAGTTCTTTCATTTTTCTATTGGTGTAGAATAATCTATTGATAATTCTGTAAATGAATGCTCCTTGTCTGCTGCAAATGATATCCGTACAATACCTATATACAACATAATATATAATGGTAATGAACCGGAGTTCCAGGTAAATAGCTTTTTACAGATGATGGAAAGAATCGGTATAGTCTGCAATAATCGAGTAATCCAATTCTAATGGATAAGTCTGGGCACATAGCACTATAATGATTATATATTCTCATCACAAGTAACTAATTTTTTAAGATGCTTCCATATCAGAACTTAATCTTGCAGCTGTCACAAATTATTTCCTTGGTGTATATGAAAATATAGAGAAATCTCTAGGAGCTTTTTATTTCCTTTTACTCTAGCATTCCATCATAATCCCTCCTAAGAGATAATGATCGAAGAAGTTGGTAATTTTATTCCACAGGTTCCTCCTTCCTATGCATGATGATAATTACATAGTAACTGTTCTTACTGGTCATAACTGGTATCAGGAGAAATCTGATAATCTAATTAACCCACGTTTGTAAATGAATGTTTCAGGAGAGGATTATATTGATCCTTTGCATTACTCTTAAATAAGTATCCAAAGGGAGTGTAATTTTATGGAAATAGCATTCACAAGTAGATTCTATAAGAAGAACCATTTTGAAGCAGCAAGGATAATCCGATTACTATATATTTATTCTTCTTCTCGCTTCTGCAAAGAGATCTACATTTTACTCTTGCAAACATTTGTACTATAGTATCCTACATGATGTTTCTCTCTAATATATAAGAGCTTACAAATAAATTATAGTAACTTCATATCATTTTGAATATTCTGATGGAAAGTTCTAAAGAATTAGTCCTTGTATCGATTTCTTTATACTTTTTCTATAGCTGATGTTTTATTGGGGGGCAGGAACATACAAAATAGGGAGGAGATGAGATCTGAATTGTCAGAATTTAACCAGTCTGTGCGTGACCATGGAACAAACATATCTGTATGCGGTATTATGGAGATGCGAATATATTATAAGGGGAGGTGTCCTTGGGTCATCGAGTTCTGTTCTAATTTCAACAGAAGGTTAAATATCATGAAGAGCGGGAGAGAGAATGTATTATGTTAATGAAGATAATTCCGAATCCTTTGAGAGCAGTATCTAGATATAGGAAGAAGATATTTATGGATAAATGAGGATCTGTATTATCGGCTTCATTGTATTTTCTATAGAGGATGTTATGACAGAAAGGTCTTGTTATGGGGAGGACATTAATGTGGGGCTACAAATATTTCTTACAGGTCAAAGATTTTGGGTAGGAATAGACACCATGACGGTTGGACGTGAAATGTATAAGAGATAGCTAATGGATGATAAAATATATCATATACATTATAGCCAAAGGAGGAAGCAGTAAGGGAAAGAATAAGTCAATCGCCTGGGAAATAAACAGTGGACCATAAGGGTAAAATTTGAAAACAAACAGCTAAACCGTAAACCTTAAGTCTAGCACTAAACGCTAAATAATGAACTCTAAACCCTGAACCCTAAACGGTAAACCCGAAACAATAAACGATGAGGACTTAACCCTAAGCCTGAAGTATAAACCTAAACCCTAAAACCCGGAACCCGAGACCCTGAACACTGAACCCTAAGCCCTAAACCCTAGACCCTGAACCCTAAACGCTAAACGTAAACCCTTAACGCTGAACCCTAAACCTGAAACCGTAAATCCTGAACCATAAACCCTGAGCCCAAAACCCTAAACCCTAAACCCTAAACCCCAAACCCTGAACCCTAAACCCTAAAACTAAACCCTGAGACCTCACCCCATACCCAAGCCCCGCACTGTTTAACCATGAACCCTAAGCCCCTAACCCCAAACTCCCAAACCCTAAATATATACCTGGAATTCCCCTATCAAAACGGAAAACCTCAATGTCCAGATCATACTCAAACATGCACAATACACCCAATCTCTAATCCAATCTACCCACGAATCGTGTGTGCGTCCCTTATGCAATGACATCCTCCACACAACAGTAACGGAATGCTCTCACTCGCGGGCGATTACACCTCCTAGAGAAAACTCCACCTCTTCGTCCGTAGTAATTGGGTTGAATGAGCCTGATTTCTCGGGAACCGGATACACTTGCTCGAGAGCTGGTGAGGATATATGGACGTCTGCTGGGGGACATTTTGTGAATTGATCTGGTGCTCCGGTACTAATATCCTGGAATTCCTCCCCCTAAATTACTTATTCCCCCCCTCAATTTGAGTCAAGAAGGGATATTAGATGGGCGGTCCCTATCCATATCCTCAGAAGTTCCCGTTGTTACCCGGGGGTTGGGTGGTCTCCTTCTGGGTCTTGATTTTTGTGCCTTGATAGTTTGGGGAGAAAATTCGTGGGTTTTGGGTGCCTGGATTCAAGTGGAGGGTTGGGCACCCGTTTGTTTTCACCCTCCTTGGGTGTCAGGACTAGGTTCATCTGGGGGGTTTACTTCACACTCAGGTAATCCTAGATTGGCCTCAGGCGTTCTCTACCCCCCTTATTTCGGACTATCCTGTTTGGGACCAAGAGCTCAAGTGTATACCTCTGTTCGGTTGAAGATCCAATTGGCCCCCTGAGATATCATTAAGTTGGGGCCACAGTGATATGGTTGCGGATTAGATCTGCTGAATTCTGCTCCGGTGCCGTTTTTTCTGGGGGCAACACTTGTGATGGAGTCCTGGGGTCGTATGCTCCTTTCTAGTAATGCCCCTGATGTACGATATCCCATTGATCTTGTATTCTTGGATGGATTTGCAACCTTATATCTTGCCGTTTTTTTCTTAATTTGGTTCCTGACTTTAGGACTCTATATAAACCCAAAATTGCCGCTATGGCCAACCCACCAACCGCGGCACTACCTGCCAGTGCCTTGGTAAAATCGGTACCCTCACTGTTTGGGACATACGTTCTTAACACTTCTTCGCCCCGCTTAAGCTCCTCTACGATTTTGCTCTGTCGTTGGGGGTTGGGGTCCTGTACCTGTGACGTGAGGAGTAATGTGTCCTTTGGTTCCTTACGAGTTGGGCCTGTTAATCAGGGTCACGCTGCCATACCTCAGGGCCGTCAGGGCAGTAGATGATCCCTCAGTTCCTGCTCTCTCCTGAAGAGCCGCCCCAGGATTTGTGGGAGTTGCCACTTCCCTTCCGTTTCGGGGCTGCTCTTAAAGTTATGCGGGGTGCCGCCTAGGGCAGGTGGGTTTCCTCAACCCTTACGGCTTCTGGCTTCGTGTTTAGAATTCTACTTTGCACATAGCATCTCTTACCTGCTCAACCGTTTGGGATTCCTCGTCTCCTCCTTTTGTCTCGCATGAGCTGGAGTTTCCTCTTTGCAGACAGGTTGTCTTCCATTCCTTTGCGTGGGGGCTGTCCTTGTAGCATTGTACTTCCTTCACTATACTGCCGGCTGCGTCGAAAAATTCCCTCCACAGAGCGTTCCTGGATTTTCCGGCGGTATGGATTCTCAAGTGAGCCTGCTTTAGCTGGTTCTCAGTCATATTATTAAACCACTCGTTCATTATTTCTTCGGCTACTTCTTCTCCGCCCCATTCCTCCAGGGCCTTATAAATCGCCTGACATAAGTCCTGTCCTCTGAAGTACCATCCTGCTGTTCCTCCTTGGTGATTTTGATAGATTACTAATATCATACTCATCAGATCCATGCATATCGCCAGTTCCCTCTGATAACTCTGACTCCCGTATAATTCAGTCCCACTAGTCAACCTTCCCCAGGTACTCGTGTTGGTATCTATTCTACAACTTCCTGAGGGCCTTGTATTAAATATGAACCCGACCTTCTTGGCTTGACATTCGGATCTTTCCGGGTTTATCATTCGGTTATGGTCCAGCTGCTGGTTATTGAACCATACCTCTAATGCCTGGCAGATCATCCTAGCTCTCAGGGGAAGTTGGAGTAATGTGGTCCCGGTGCCTATTATGGGTTGATCCCACCTCTCTGGATCCACCCTCGTATTTTTGTCTCCGGGGGTATCCTTCATATCGCTTAGTCTGAGGTCGGTTAGCCCCCCGTGAGAACCCCGTTTTGTGCTTCTCCTCTTCCAGATATACTCGTCTATCCAGCCGGTCAGCATCCTGGGTGTTCGATTCCAGTTGTCTCGTTCTTAGTGGGTGGGGGTTTCCCTTGGGAGTTGTCTTAGTTATTTTTAATGTTCACGTGGATGAGTACGTGTTCTCGGGTCGTCCCGGATCCAGCTTCCTGCCGTTATGTTTGCTTGGGCCGATGTATTCGTTTTTGCCTTTGTTTTCCTTTTCGGTCCACCATAAGATTTAGCCCGCTTTTTGGGACGGATAAGATTAGTGCCGCCTGGTGTTTTCTTTAGTCACAGAGATTGTTCACAGTTTCGTTCTGCTTGGTCGTGGTGGAGTCCGGATTAGCTGTTTGGTATCATCTGTATTGGCCGGTTAACCTCGGGTACGCCTCCGTCTGGAAACTCTGTCCCATTCAGATCCTCCCTACTTTAGTCTCTGGGGGTACTCCCTGTCAGTTTTCGTTTTCTGGCTCCTTTACACGTGTTGTTTCGTCTGAGGGAGTGGTTCTGGGAGTGAAGGTCAGTTGTTAGTCTTGTGAGGAGTCGTCCCTATGTTTGGAGGAGCAGTTCAGGGCCGACGGACAGATTGTGATACTTCTGCTCCCTCTTAGTACTTCCTTGTTCCTTTTTCGGTAGGGATTCATCCCAATCATTTCTTGTGGAGTCCCGCCTGTGGAGTGACTTGAGTTCGATACAGTTGGAAGTAGGGGCACTTAGTAAGAGGCTCCTAGTATTGTTCACCTATAACTCGCGGCTTGGCTAATTCATCTTCGGTTGGGGGTCTGGTACCTTCTTCCTGGACTGGAGATCACTCATAAGCATTCCTTAGAGTCATTTGGGGCCCCTGAGAGCTGTACTTTCTGATTTATTTGTCACTTGTCCTCATCTCTCCTCTCTACCCCAGTTACTTCCCTGGGGATCTCCGTCGGCTGAGGTGTTCTTTTGGGCGGGTTTCGTATCTTCCCTCTACGGTGTAAGTGCAACCCTTCCTCCCTTGTTGGTAATCAGTCGCGTGCCTCCTGAGGTGTGATAATCCTTGATGTTCTGTTGCCTAGATAGTCCTGTGATAGATCTCCCCCTTCAGGAGGGTTTTTCTTCCCTTTATGACTCTTCCCTTAGTCTCAGTACTTGTGGGCCGCCGGGTTGAGGGGCTTGGGAGGCCCTGTCTTTTTCCGATCTTGTTACTCTCTACTTTCATCTTTTCTTCTCCTGTGCTCTCGAGGGGGGACATTCCTTCTTCCTTTTTTTTCTTTGGGGCCAGGCTTCGATGTTTTCGATTTATGATACTAAGGCCTTCTGATATCACGCCATACCCACCACGCAAAATACCGCCTCGGGTGTGGGCCGTGCTCCTCTTGGTATCCTGCAGGTGGATTTGGTCGGTTTCACCTGGCCTGCGACACTCAGTTGAAATTTCCAGGGGGGGGGGTTAGTTTGGGCCTTCTATGGATACGCTCCTTGTGAGTCCATAGGGATCAGTTGTTAGATCCCTCCCCGACTGCCAAACTTCCCGTAGGGTTGGCGTTCTCTTTTTATCCGAACTCTTATACTCATGTCCCATAGTCAACAGCTTCCGTTCCTTAGGGGGCGCATAGAGAGGCCCCGTCTCAGGTTTCCGACACCTCCAGCCGGGGGGGGGGCTGTTGGATGTTTCGCTTCCCTACTCCTCCTCCGGCGTCCTGATCTGGTTACTTTTTGTCGCCCGGCCTATGAGGTAACCATCCTTCACTTTCCCTGGAGGATGATACTCCTCTCAGGAATTTCCCGTCGGCCTGTCCCTTTCTTCTGCTACTTTTCGGTCCAAATTAACCCCCTCTCCCATTTGAGGTCTTAACTTCTCTTTTTTTGGAACTGTCATGGCCCAGGTCGCCTGTTGGGTACATCCCCGGACTTCCTGTTTGGCTGGCTACTGGATTCTTGGTTCTACTTCCTACTTGTCGGATGATTAGTTGGTCCTAGTAGATTTCCCTTGTCTCCTTCATTGTTAGGACACCGGTCCTGTTCGAGGAGGCGGATAATACACGTGTAGCTCCTCCTGCTCCTACTTTAGCAGTTCCTCCCCCTAACCCGTAACTCGAGCTCGGTTCCTGTTCGGTTATTTCTATCCGGCACCGCTGCCCTCTCGTGCCTTGAGATAAATTAGCCGTCAATGAATGACTAGTCTAGTCCACTTAGGATTCACCTCGTGTTCTACCCCTAGACTGTGTGTCCATTATCTTCGTGGGCCGTATATGGTCCGGGTGGATGAGTTGCACGCTGTTCGGGGTACGGAAGTTGATCGTCTAGTTCGGTGATTGATATATCACCATATACCTGCTTTTGGGGAAACCTTACTCTATATTCCACTCATTAGACCCCTGTGTTCAGATTCGGGGCGCTTGTCGCGGGGCCCAAGCATTTGGATCTGTTTTTCATGTGATCTTGCACCACTTGTTCCTCCCTGTGTGGTCCTATTAACGCCCTCAGAGAGACTTCGCCCTCAGTTTCCCCTTGGTTCACTCGAACTCGTCCCTGGATGATGTGACTTGTGGGATTGAGGAGGACTTAGATCCACTGGGGGTGTTCTTGGGATCGGCGAGCATCTGTTCAGATGGATCTCAGATTTTGGGGTACTTTGTGATCTTAACTTCTAAATCTTCTGGGCTGTGGTGTGTGAGACTGAGATCGTTGATTTTTACTGATTGGCCTGTTTTGCTCTTGACTCTTGTCCTCTTCTTTCCTGCTTAGGATTCTGTCCGGGGCCCATTGCACCCAGGGTCCTCCGCTCGTGACCTGATTAGAGGAGTTTGGGTTGTAACTGGAAATCTCGGCTTTCCTTCCTTGACTTGCAGAAATTGCTCCTTTGTCCCTATTCTGATCAGTGCCGTTAGCACGGGCTCCTACGTCAAGGGCCCCTTGCTCGGTTGTATATCTTTTCCTCCTGAGTCCTGATTTAAATCCCTTGAGGGTGTCCCTGTCTGTCAATTTTCAGGGTTCCTGTTCAAACGGGTCCACTTGTCCTTTTGGTCGATAATTTTCCTTGGTGATTGATTGCTCCGTTCAGACCAAGTAGATGCCAGTCAACGTCCTGGAGGGTTCCTTGATTTCCTCGGCCCTTTTGGCGGGTGTTTGTGTTCTCCTGGGTCTGCCCCCGTCTCACTGTGGAAGCTATCTTCCTCTTCATCTTTCTGGATCGTGATGCATCCTTTCCCGTTTGTTACATCTTCGGATTTGGAGATGACCCGGCTGGTTGCTCAATAATTTCTGTATAATTCAGATTAAGCTCGTCCTGTTGGTGGGTTTCTACTTTTGCTTTACCATCCGGTACCTGCTCGACCCTCTTGTGGAGGAGTGAGACCTTTCGGTTACGGTGATATCTCTGACACATTACTCATATCTTCCCGTTTGGGAGCTCATCTGTTCCATTGTCTTGTGTGTGATGTAGGTCGGTTATTTTCTGCAGTTTTCCTTGCTCCTGTTTCGTTGTTCTCTTGTGAAATTTGTCCCGAGAAGGTGAGGTATTTTTTGAAGTTGATTGATTCCTACTACCTTGGTCGAAATATTATCTCGGGATTTGGATTTCCACGTGGGGTCCCGTTATCTGATTCAGATTCTTACTGTTTGACGTGCTATATCGGCTCCCCAGTTCTTGTTTTAGGTTTGATCTTTGATTTGATGCTGAAGACCTGGCTTCTATATTTACCCTGATTACTTGTTACCTCTGGGGATTTCTCCTTTGGGGGAAATTGGAGTTCCTTGGCTGCTTGGGTCTTGATAGCTCCTGTGTGGGGTTTATCCTTTCTGGGTGCTGGTTGGGGGACCCTTATACGACACATTCCACCCCTTCT